TCTCTCTCTCTCTCTCTCTCTCTCTCTCTCTCTCTCTCTCTCTCTCTCTCTCTCTCTCTCTCTCTGTGTGTATGTGTGTGTGTGTATATGTTTATAGATATCAACTTTATTTATTATTTTCCGAAGCCACATATCTACATCGCTTCTACATTTTAATCAATGGAGTTTTACCGAATAAAATTTTACTACGTTTTTCGCGCTTTCAGCTGCCGCGTGCGTCAGCCACGAATCAGCAACAGGTTGCTCCGAACCATCAGCAAACCGATCAAACGAGTCCACAATCCGACAGCTTGCAAACCCGACGAACCGGGTCTTCCGAAAGACAAGCGCGTCGTCCTCTCGCACCGAATGCGTACCAAGAGGTAGTCGTGCACGATCGATCACCTCGAAATCCGTCGACGGTCAACCAGCAGATGATCGTTCAACATCCACCGACACGAGGCACGAAGCGAGCTTTCGAACCATCCGCGTCTGTCGAGCGAGATTGCGACGAGGCTGTCGTTCTCGAATGCGAAGAGCAGCCGGTCGGTGGCCGGAACGCGGCCAGTTACAGACAAGCGATCATGCAGATGCAGCGACAGCAGCAAGACGCGAATAACTATCAAGGTGTTCACTTGCAAGATGCCAATGAAGCCTCATCGCGCCATCCGTTTCCAGAGAGTCGTCAGCCGATCTGTCAGCAGCCTCAGCACGACGTGTATCATCAGCAAATGTCGCAGGCGCTCGATCACGCTCAATCATCGATCTCTAAACAGCAACAGCGCAATAGCTCCAGGACACACTGCAGTTACCAGAATTGGCGATTGTCCGCGGCGCAATTAGTTTCTGCACAGGGGATGACTTCGCCGCAGGACATGACGATAAGTCAGATGAGGCTGACGCGGCACAATCTGCCAGTCCATCAGCAGAATCTCGGCTGCCCCGTTAGTCAAAGCGCGTGGCCGCTGGATGGACGATGGACGGATCATAATCAGCAGCATTCGTGTCAACAACAACAACAACAACAAGTGCCTTCACCACACTGGGGCTGTTGTTACCAGGATATGCCGGATAACAGTTTCAGCCGACAGAGCCCGGTGGAGCAAGATCAGCGTGTACCGTTGCGGAATCAAATGAGCTGCGAGGCTGTCGCCGATCAGCAAGCTATCAAAGAGGCTCACGCCCGACAGAACGACAGCAAGAGGACGTTGCAGTTCACACCGGACATGATCCGCGATCAGGAATTGTTGGTCTCCACCATGAGGCAGCAAGGCATACCCCACGACGTGATGCGCCGTCAATTCGACGCGCTGCTGCACGAACAACGCAGACACTTGGCCTACGTCGCGCAGTTCCAACAGCAGACCGATGCGTCGGAGATAAAGCGAACGTGTCGGCTGGTGCAAAGGAGGACGAAGAATGATGAGAAGCCGGAATGGATGGTGCACATCACGCCGCCGCGGATCTCGTACAGCGACCTGGAAAGTATAAAGTCTCAGCAGAGAACCCCAAACGAGCAGCACCCGACGAACGATCAACCGTCGCAGGAAGTTGGCAGAACAGTGCCTGTTCAGCTGCAGCAACAGGATTATCGTTCGCAGCAGCCGACAGAGGAGACAATCGCTCCGGCTGTTTCACCTCGGCGAGTGTACTTGCAGATGAATCCTCATCAGTGGCAGCAGAAAGCGATCGATTGGTCGCGCAGAGGCGATCATCGAACGCCGTGTGGTTTCATGGGCTGTTACCCTTACGGCCATCAGCGAAGTGCACTGAACGGTTTCTACTGTCAACCAAGCATCAACGGATTCGACCAGTCTCAGCAAGGCTCCCACCAATGTCTGTACGACGCGTCTTATTACAGCGCAAATCCAAGTATGTTATTTTGAAACGCATAACCCTTATAGAAATATCATACTAAGAATCATTGATAATTACTTATTATCCAGTATTTTTAATACTGAAAATAAGTAATTATCAATGATTCTTAGTATGATATTTCTATAAGGGAAGCACGCAATAGCTACAAGTCTCTTTCTACGTTTCTTGCGATTTTAAATCACATTTAATACGTTTGAGACATATAAACTATAATTTAATACGTTTAAACCAGAGTTGTAAAAATATCAATTGAAACTTTCTCAATTCAATAATTGATTTGAACAAATATATTCCAATTCAATTAATGATTAGTTCGAGCAAAATTAAGCAAAGAATGTTTAATTCACGATCAATTTCAACTAAAGACTGAATTTGCTGAAATCAATTGTTAATTACATGGTCCAATTAACTTGGCTTATATTAATCGTTAATTAAACATAATTAAATATAGTTTAAAAAATTAATTAGTCACAATTCTGGTTTAAATCATTAAATAACGTGACTTAAAAGACACGTAAAAAAAGATTCAGCCAAAATAATACATTTGGATTTGCAGTTTATTCGTACCAAATGCATCCCGAACATCAAAAGGCCTGGCTTGATGAGCGCAATGCGACTTCACCCAGTCAAACTGGCAAGCGGGGAGTTCCAACGAACGCCGAGCGGAGCGAGAAACCCACCGAGCCTTCCAGTCTGCTGAAGATGCGCGTATACAAGGAAGTGATTCGCCCTCAGAAGCGCAACAACGGCCTGCAAGATCCGGAAACCGTTCGAAGAGCGCTCGAAGCGCTAAAGGATCCGACCAGTAAGAAGGGTTTCGAGTACTTGGCCAATTTGGCGCGGAGGAAGCCCACGATCAGGCTGAACGGCGCTCAAGAGGCCGACGAGATCCCGGAAGACCTGCGCGCAGTCTCCTTGGAGAACACCTCGTGGGCTCCGAAGAGGGTCTCGGCGAACGGTTTGGAGAACAACAGGAACCCGAACAATCCTTCGCTACGTGTCTCGCGGCCCAGAAGACTCGACGAGCCTGCGATGATAGAGTACCCGCGACAGAGACAGAGACTCAAGACCTGTTACGGCGCGACGGCTGAGATGCTGGCCAACGGGCAGCAGCGAGATCATGCAGCTGTGGTCTCCCATGTGCGGGACGCAGAATCGATTCCTTGCGATCGAGCACGTACCGTCAATAACGGCACGATCACCCCCCCATACGGAGGTGCTCCGGATTATCAGCAGATGCAGCGGTGCTGTCACAGCGGACAGAGGCTGGCGAGCCACAATGGCGGCCAAGGCGACGGTATTGCGAGCACACAACGGCCCAATGCACCGGACGCGACGGGAATCGATCGCGCCGGCGGCGATGCACTCGGCGAGAACTCGAGCGCCGAGGGGACAACCAAGCGCCGGAGCGGCGAGCAATCGATGCCGGGGACGTGCTCTTATGGCCGGCCGGATATCCGCGAGGCGAGGACCATCGCCTGCGCCGCGGCGCACCTTCCCGCCAGGAAGCCCGATTACGCGCCGAACAATCTCGCCGTCTCGCCGGATAAACTGCTCGCGAGCAAGCTCGTGCGACCGCCGATGATACTTTAGGGCTCGACCTGTCCGGTCGCGACGGCGGCTCCCTGCTTAAAATGATGGATGCAGAACGATAACATCACACGAGGTTTCGCCTGAACCTTAATCTAAGTCAATGCGAATCGACTAGATGATGATTGATTTACGTTGAGATTCACATTGAACGCAATGCAGTCTTATATTTATCCTATATTCATCCTATAATTCGTCCTATATTCATCATTTTGAAAGTGGACTTGCTCCTTCACCCCGTTGCCTCTGTATCGTTTTTGCAGCGAAATCATTTAATTAATGTGAGCGAGCGAGACTCCTAGATGTGTAAGATAAATTTGTGGGTACAGATATATATGGCAAATTTGTAATGTTTCGTGCATATTGGGTAAAATGTTCCGGAGTGTATGCAGTATTGTTTTTGCGTACATTACGCAACTTCGACACTCTGTTTTTCGATTTTGTTTATTTTTATAGATGCTCCTACACAATGTTTTCTCTTTTGATACTGCGTCGCGTGGATATTTTGAGCGCGAAGTGCTATTGAAGGCTATACATGTGTATATATATCCGTGCTTTTTACAGACGTTGTAAATAAATATTTGTAATATAACACAAAAACCGTTGCAATACTGGACATTTTGATATTTAATGTCGTATATAAAATACGTAAAAATATAAAAAAGTATAAAATATAAAATTTGGCGAGCCCAAGTTGTATTAAAACACACACGCATATGTAAAGTGCACATGGTATTGGAATTTATTAACTCTTTGAATACAGAATAACGCAAGGAAGAAACATTCCGTATAATCGGAATTCAACAGGATTATCAAACGTTTTGATTTCGACTGGTGATATTAAGCAGAACAGAAATACAAATTGAAATACTAAATTTAAAATTATAAAACCTACTAAGGAAAATATTGTTAGCGAGCTGAGTGATAGAGTAAACATTGGCAATTTTTGTCGCGTCTATAGTTTACATCGAATTGTTTACGTTGAGTGCATATAATCGTCCACAGTTCTCAAAGCATTAGATATGCTTTTGTGTTATAGTTAAAACATTGGAACTGTATATATGGGAATATATAAATTTATGGCGTTTTTAACCGAATTTCTTCCTGTTTTTTCTTTTTGTAATGTAACGTATTTTTACACAGATTTTCTTATAAGGTTAACAAATAGCGTTTTTCATTTGACTTCGGAATCGCAGGCAAGGGAAATGAGCGTGAGATCGATTAATCGATTAGATAATTGAGGGCAGGAGAGCATCTATCGACAGCTATCTTTCAAAAGTTTCGGCGTACAAGCAGCTCCAACTGATCGATGTAGGAAGATTTCCCAAAAAATTTCCAAAGTGCACTCAGCATGCACCGAAACGACCGACGGCGCAATTTTATGGACGAGTTCCGCGACATCCTACGCGAGATCGATCGTTTGTAAGCGAGGACTCCGTCATAGCCAGCGCGATTTAATGATCGCCGAGAATGTATTCGTCCGCGCGAGGACGCCCGACCAAATAAAGTCCTCGATACCGCGACATGTAAGACACGAGTTACTCTCCCTTTCCTGTTCGCCAGGAAGCCCGAGCCCGAGATATGCAACGTGAGCTGTCCTCCTCTGGGATGTCCTCGGGGACCTTGTCCCGGAGTGTGCTGCCGCGGGGAGACCTGCGATCCCTGCTGCGTGTCGTGGATGCCGCATGACCAATCATCTTGTTGCCGGATGCCACGTTGTTTAAGGAATCACGCACCTAGTGCGCCCGGCTCGTCCTTCCGCGGCTATTAAGTCCATTCTGCAGTTGCGTAAGCGTGGTTGTAAATTGTAGATAATTACGACAACCTGAATAAAGCATTCAGTAAATAAAATACTCTAATTGGTCGATTCTTACGTTCACGATTACGCTTACGCAATTGCAGTCGAGTACCGTGAATCGAAGAAAGTCGACATCACCGGAGATAACAGCTGTTCCAGTCCCGCAGCGCATGATCAATCAGGATTCCAGCGAGTGTCCTGTCCCGCTCCTTCTAATTGTGCACGGATCGCGAGTGCACTGCCTTGTCGCGCCATTGGATCGATAAGGTGTCGGCGCGTGTACTCGAAACGCCCGAAGAAATGGAATCCGTCGCCTCTGTTACGGCAAAGGAAGACACAGAGGGAGGATGGCTCTTGTTTTATTAAAGAAATTGAAATAAAGGACTCAGATCGCAGAGGAAGATTGCATCTCGTTGCTGTTCCGCGTGTCGCTACGTCTCTCGCGCTATTTTATAATGCATCCGCTGAATTACCCATTATTCGATTGCGTCGCTGTCTCCTACTCTATAAACTTCCAAGACTAGAGTTTCACTCAAAATGTAGCAGTATTTTCGCTCGAGGCGATGGCGGACCGCTATGCAATTAATCAGTTTTTACTGCCACTCGACATTGCGGAAGTTAATGTTTCGCACGAACTTAGAGTGAATTTTGCATACGAGTGGATACTTCAGTCGATTAGAGTGAATATGTGCCATTATGTGACGGTGCATTATATCAGATTCGCTCTTCGTTTTTTAATGAAAATACTCACTCGGCGATTCAGAGCGGAAAATTCCTTCTATATGAGTGAAAAATCGTTTGACTCGGTGATCACTTCACTTTTCAAAATAAAATTTCACTCCAAGACATTTAAAATATTCTTGATATATCCTTTGCGCGAAATGGGAATATTATTCAAGCATCTATATAAACTCAATTATTTGAACATTCGTATAAGTTTAATTTGATTAACATGTATTTTTACAAGAGAATATCCAGCTTTAGATCTAGATAAATTCTAAAGATCTAGCTTCAAATTCCAATTTGAATTTAGACTACGTCTAGGGAATGGAATTGCATTAACGTCGGTCTATGTATGTTCGTGGACAGAAAGGTTGTCCGTAAATTTTAAAGTGAGTTTGTGAACTCTCCGTCTTGTCCAATGGGAGAACCCGTTTTTTAGTGGAAATACATTCCCATTGGATAAGACAGATGAGTTCATTTCATCTGAAAAATTACGGGTCCACGATTCAAATTTGCTGTCCTCGAGTGTACATCAAATTCACTTTTCTATTTCGAATAAAAACATTTACTTGACGATTCAGCAGAGAATTCAATCTGAACGAGTGTAAAAAATCACTGGAATCTGAAACACTCGTATTCACTCTACTTTCCGAATAAAATTTCACTCCAAGGATGAAGAGCAAATTAAAGATACTATTTTAATATTCGTGTAAGTTCAATTCGATCAGCGCCTATTATCATAAAATTTAACTGAAAACTTTAGATCTGAATTGAAATTTGAGTATCTCATGTGAGACAAGTTTCAAGTAACGACTATCAATTAACGAACTTTACTCTATACGAATGAAAGGTTGAACTTGAACTTGAGTGACTCGGGATTTATTCTACTTTCCTAGAAAAAAAATTTTATTCAAAAATATGTAACGAGCACGATGTAGCTATCGGAAATAATTTCGCTCTCATGTATTTCGCAAACGACAAAATGCGTATTATACGAGAAGCTTACCGCGCTTCGAAATATCCATACTATCTGAAATTCGCGATACTTCAGCAGCCTTGGACGAGGTTCAGTGCGCAGATCGATAACAGATATCAAACTGTGATAGCTTTTGCTGCTTCAGCGCGTACCAACGATATCTCATGGGTCGAAGAGGCAACGTTTTAGCACATAATTGAAGTGTAGACACGCAATTAATGACATATCATCGTGCGCGCTGGCACGTCGTCCGCGCAACGTTTTAACTGCGAAAGATGAACGGGGAAGAGAGATGTTTGGCCGCGCGTTATCCGACGATACACAATTCCGCGGAGATTTTCGCGGCTCTAGCCGGCAGGTCGAGTCAGGACCAACAAGTTCGTTGCGAGGAACAATAGCAGGCAGTCTCGCGCCCGCGACGCTTATTAATTTCATCGATATTTCCTCGCAGCACGTCATGACGCCCTCGGAGTACAAGAAGCAGATGTTGATGAGCGCTCAAGAGAGACTTGATTATCCGCTAAAAGCGGCTCGCGGCGTAAACGCGCAAGTTTTACGCGGCGGTACGGGAAGCCGCCACTTCAATGTCTCACCCAGCATTGTTCTCTTCCAACGATTCGCACCTGGCGACGTGTACAACGCGGCGCTCACGATACGCAATGTGTCGAAGGTGCGCCAGCTTCCTCTTCCACTCCAATGAAGAGATCGCGCGTCAAGCCAGCTTGGCGCTCGTATTGCGCTCGTTCAGTGCAATATTCATGAGCTCAACCTCGATTTCACTTACGAAATATTACGTTAAAGGTGTCGCGGCGCTTGAGGATCTTGCGCAACCCCGATCCCTTGTTCGCCGTGGAATATCACGGCTCGAATTACAGCATCGTCGTGGCGCCGGGGCTCGTTCACGTTTATAACGTCAGATTCAGACCGGCCGAGAGGCGAGACTACGAGTATCGTGTCGAGTTCGTCGTCGGCGATGATGGCGACGACGACGCCGTCCTCGCGGTGCCGGTAATCGGTGAGGAAATAAATTACATCGCGATTATACGCGCGGTCACGTATACGCTCGGGAAGGTGTGGGTCAAGTTAATATTGTTCCAGCTATCGGCCCGAGGCCTATTCTCGATCTGCCAGATCAAATCGAAATACCAACCACCGCGGTGAAGATCTCCTCCTCGAGGACGGTCGTGGTGCGCAACGTGGGAGACGCGCCGGCGACTTTTAATTTCTGCACGGATCAGTACGTTATACGAGATTATTTAACACAAAAATGATTATATACAATTATGTGTGTGAATTTTGCTTCTACACTGAGGAAAAAATATTTAAAAATTAATATTTATTAAGTGGGTGCCGTTAACATATTTACTTAAATTAAAATCTTTATTTATCTAAACCGAGCAAACACTTCTCGATTTAAATGAAAAGATTTTTTATTTAAGTAAATATTTTAATAAATGAACAACATTAATTAGATATTTTCTTTAAATATCCAACAGAGACTTTCTATTTTCCTTTTAATTTCCAAGCTTCCTACGAGAAAGTTAACAAATCTTTTGCACCAATCTAATGGTCAATATATATAAATAACATGCTGACTTTAAGCGACATGACATCGACGTGTTGAGGCTTAAAAATGCAGATATTGTTTTAATACGTAATAATTAATGATTAAGTAATAATGATAATTTTTAACGCCCAACAATCTCTGTAACGTTGTGTCAGTCCGTATTTCTCCGTGGAGCCGTCCAGAGGCATATTAAAGAAGGAAGAAACGATGCAGTTTACTGTGAGCTTTTTGTCCGAGAAATCTGGTGATTTCAAAGCGAATCTTTTCCTCAGTTATGAATCTGGTATTAAAAAACATTGTGCTCCGTCTGATATTAAATTGCGAGAGAGAGAGAGAGAAAGAGAGAGAGAGAGAGAGAGAGAGAGAGAGAGAGAGAGAGAGAGAGAAATACATTAAATATCAAGCTAACGATGAACGTTTTAAATTTAATGACGCAACAGCTCCCTGTAACGACGTGCAAATTGTCTGCAGGGGAGAAGCTTTACTTGTCGCTGCAGAGCTCGTCGGTAAATTGCACGATACACATCGACAGGAACAGTGTCCGAATTGAGGACACTTATTTGGGTCTGTCGAGAAGCAAGGTCCTCACGATCCACAATAGAAGCGACTACGTGGTAAAGTTCCAGTGGATGCACTTTGAGGACAAGAATAGCGACGTACAGCGAAGGGCCGAGTAAGGGAAATGCAATTATACCCTCCGCAAAGTTGTCCCGAAAGTTTTCCCGCGTATCTGTCAATCACCGTCGCAACGAAACACGGCGATATTTTTTCTCCTGCTCCGTGTGCCGGACGACAGGTACGAGAGGCTGTTTCAGCAGGTGCACGAGGTGGAGATGGCGCGTCACGTCGGACTCGTTCATTACAATATTTGCCTGCCAGATACCCACGAGCTCGTCTGCCAGCGGATTTACGCGGACGAGATTGTCTCGTTGACGAATGAGAACTTCCGCTACAATCACGCGCGCTTCCTTCTTACCCCCGAGGTGATGATATCAACGTGATGGCGCTTTTACTTACGCAATATATCCTTGTCGTGTGATAATTCACTTATTTCTGTATTTACGTCCGCGCGTTGGCCGCGCTGCCAGAAATTTTTCCATCGATTCATGAAAAGCGTGTTGCATAATACATGTTTCTTGGGTTAGAGGAGATCGAGGGCCGGATGGTATATTTTTCAAAATTTCGAAGTTGCAACTTCTCAGTCAACTGATCTCTCTTTTTTTTTTAGAAATATTAGATACAAATATATTATTAATGTTTTAATTATTGGGACAAGATTTAATTACTGAGACATTTACCTTATATTGATAAAGTACAGAACCGATATACCTTTTGGTCCAACTATCTCCTTTATACACGCGACATCGCGTCTGATATCTTTAATGTCTTGCATTTTGCAGGAAGGCAAAATTTGGCCACGTTCTTGCGTTGATATTACAGTATTTTTTCGACCCACGGAGGTGGGCGAGATATCGAGCGTCGCTTATCTCGAAGTTACGGGCCGCGAGGAAAGGATACCACTGAGGTTTGCAGAAATACCATAACGTTATCCTCGGGAATTTCTTCCTTTGTATTGGTCAGAAATTTTTTCTAATTTTATATTTCAATGGATACAGCCTTCACGGGATCGGCAAGGGACCGCTTCTTTGCCTCAACGTGATCACGATTGACCTGAAGAAAATCTACTTATGTTCCGTGCATAATTACGAGGTAAAGTTCGATGTTCTCATCTTCATCGTAGATACATAAGTTAAGTGGTAGAGTCTATAAGTTAATGGACGTAGGAATAACCAAACATTTTACAGATTGTGGCAGCAAATAAAGGACACATCAACGGTACATTAGTTTACAAAACGAGACCGACAGAGTTCGGCGGTACCGTTCACGTCACCCCACCTCGTCTGACTCTGGAACCGAACGAATACAAGTCGTTCAACTTGTCGTACTCTTCAAGCCGGAAAGGAGACTTCGTAGAGCGAATTGACTTCGTCGTTGAGGAGAGTTCGCAAGTGGTGTCCTTGCATATCAAGTGCGACATCCGAAATTGACTATAATCGAGACTGGAATTCATTGAAAACTAAACAATCAAGAATCTTTGATGTAGAATCAACGAGAAGAGAAAAGCCAATGCAGAATCTCAGTTACGAAGCTCACTCAGTTATACAAATAAAATAAAATAAGAAAAGGAGTACTAAACGGACTCTTGTAAGAACGTTTCGATCGTCATTTTAAACTTTTTCAGTAAAAAAAAAAGAAAAACAAATAATGGCACTATCACACAGAATTTTTTGAAGAAAAAACTTACATCTCTTCTGTGTGTAAAATGTAAAAATTCTAGAAGAACTTCGAAGCCAGTAAACTTATCAGTCTCATGTTGACGTTAAAGCTTCAGAAAAATTCTTATATTTCTGTTAGGAGATATTGTTTTTTCTTCAAAAACTAGAATGATATTGTTTTTATTTTCTTTTCTTTTTTACTTTTTATTTTATATTTTATATGTATATATATAATATTTATATATATATATATTTTTTTTTTATAATATATATATATATATATATTTTATATTTTATATTTTTTATATTACATTTTCTTTATTTTCTTATATATTATATTATATTTTATATTTTTATTTTATATTCACACACAACTGAGTGGGTTTCGCGACTAAATGGGCTTTGAACTAAAATCCTATATTGTTTCTTATTAATCTTTTTCTTCTCGTTGATTCAAAACGTATCGATTTATCTTAATTAGTACGACTAAATTATTATAACATATCGTCGAACTTCCCTGTATGTCCGCAGGGGATGTATTGTATGTCCAACATTGCATTTCGACAAGAGCAGTCTAGACTTCGGCGCGGTTGCATTAGGTATACCTCGCGATAATTGATAGTGGCTTAATTAACAAAGCCGCAATTATACATTTGCAATATACATTTGCAGGGTTCAGCAAAAGGCAGGAGGTACATCTTCGTAACTTGTCTTTGGTACCCGTTTCGTTCAGCGCGACTATAATGGAGGACGGCGATCAGGCACCGTTGACTCACGAAGAGTTCTCTAGATCCGAAGCTCGGGCGAGTTTCCCGGCCAATCCTCGCGAATTCACGATCATTCCGCAGAAAGGAGTGGTACAGGCGTACAGTTCGCTTAAATTAAAAGTAAGTTACGAATGATATCTCTTGAATCTCGCGTATTCTCTAAATTTCTTGGAGTAAAATTTTACTCAACGCAGAATTTCAGTTTAAAATCCATTCAATCGTTGCTGAACCCAGTTGCGAAATCTACTCAGTTGTGTATGAATATAAAATAAAAATATAAAATAAAATATAATATAAAAAATAAAGATAAAATAAAATATAAAATATAATATAAAACTCAAAAAATAGAGTGACCGCCGAGTTACTCGAATTCGAGTGTTTTTTCACTGATACAGAATGAATTCTCCACTCTGAATCGTGAATATTTCCATTTGAAATTAAAGAATGAATCTGATATACTGCAGATTTATATATATTACCATCTGTTAATGTACTTTTATATTAAAACACTTAGGTGATGTATACAGCGAACGTGGTTCGAAGTGGACAATCGACTGTTCGTGTTGACATGTGGGACTCGGACTTGGATCCAGCGTTACTACCGATCTCATTTTGCGGCGCTATTCCTGCTTTGTCGATCACGCCCGCAGAGATCCTCATTCGGTTCTCTTTTCTCAACTTCCCCTATTCGCGTTCTGTTAACGTGGAGAACAACTCCGACCTGGATGGATATTTTTATATAGTACCTCAAACGGTAGAACGTGCTGAATCAATTTCAAGAGTTAACTTTATGAACGACGCATGCGCGTTATTTAAGCATAATTTAAGGAACATATCGTTAAGTGACATGGTTAAGCTGATGGTGCGATGATCCTGTTCTCTAGATATCCGAGGATATCCCAGTGATATACTCGATGTCGTCTCATCAAGGCTTCCTGAAAGCGCGTCAGTCGAAGAAGATCGACATTACTGTGATCACAAAAGTTTTAGGCAAACAGAAAATTACATTAAAGTACGATAATTAGGGTGGCTCGAAAATCGGTTACTGATTTCAAAAATTCACTTCTTTTTTTAGAGTTAATATATTTTTTAAATATATTTTAGATATATTTTAAATATATTTTAAATATATTTTAGAGTTAATATATATATATAAAATCCTTTCCGCAGATTTTATTAATAGGAAATTCGGAATTGTAACTAATTTTTAAGCCACCCTATAATTCATAACTATTACATATATGTAATTCTTTAAAGTTGCGAAAACTATAGCTAACAAAAATTTTAAATTTTAATTGATCTTAGAATCTTAGATCTTAGATCTTTTCCTAAATGTCAACAAGAGGATATCATTAAGTACTTTTATTGTTATAACAATATGATCATCAGGCTTAAACGTGCGCAGCTAAGAAATTATATTTTATTTGGAAAATATTTATCACTTTCTCCTTGTCTTAGCATATTGACGATTGGCGTGCAGACGCCGGTTACATCCTGCACGATCATCTGTAACGGCCAAGGACCGGTAATATCCGTGGAGCCTACCTATCTCGATTTTGGAGACATCCAGGTGCTTCAAGAGCAGGTCACGTATTTTCGCATGATCAACGATTCACCGATACCTGCACAATTTAAGTTAACGTCGGTAAGTATTCCTTCAGTAGACCGGAGCTAAATGGCTCTAGTATGTTGCTTATGTATTTTTAGTATTTATCTTGAGAGGAATAGTGGATACAATATTGCGAAATGGTCCTTTCAGAATAGAAATACTTTTCCCTGAGTTTCATTAAAATCGGAATAATATTACAGTTAAGAAATAGAAATAACTGAATAGATAATAGCAAAGTAAATTTTCAAGTCTCTTTTGAAATTTTCTATCAATATTCTTCATTGTAACTGAATAAAATTAAGCGATGTGTTGCTAGCTAGAATGAAATTTCTTGCAGGTATATGATGTCATGTTTCTGATAATAAGTACAATTTTCAATCATAAAATGATTGAAGTAGAGTATATATAGGTGGACGAGGTAAAGTTAATCCATAATCGAAGGACGGCACTGTAGAGACTTTTTGCGGGACGCTGCACCTAAAAAACAATAATTTTAATAGAAGTGAAATTCTTTAAATCCTAGAGGATTTTACTCTTATATATGGCTTCAAGAGGATTTCTTTGAAATCAAGAGGAAAATAATCTTAAACACAATTCTTAAAGATAGAGGAATTTCATATTAAATGTTCAGTGCTAATCTATTTGTTCTTAATCTAAATTTCCTCTTATATATTACTTTAACTCAAAAATATTTCTTCGGATTTAATAAATTTTATCGCCTCCATATGAAAGAAAGATCAGAAAACTTTGACCGGGATGCTTATGTGTATCTGTAGACGTCCACTTTTAATGCCATATGAAATGAAAAACATCAGACTCGGCTAGAATCGTGAACCCAGGTCTTCCGCTTGTCAGGCAACCGCTTTTCCCACTGAGCTATTTAAGAGTCCATGTTTGTGACATTTATATACCCAGTGAAAAATAATTCGTTGATTAATGTCAAAATGATATCAAACTGACGTCGGTTTGACGATTTCAAAATTGATTTGATTGAAACGTCGACAGTGAATTGACGGTGGAAGCTCTAAGCGTGGCGGTTGGTTTTAACCAATCTATACGACAGTATGCAGCGAAATAACAGTTCTTCGCGTCTCTCGTACTGCACGCAAGACGGCATTGTGCTTCAAATTAACATATTCCTCTTGATATAGAGGAACACAATTAGAATAATATCTCATAAATGCACGATGAGTGGTTCCCTTTAATAAAAGATGAATATACTTTCTGTAAGATATTTCTTTTAGAATATGAGGTTAGAGGAAAACTCACTTTGTACGTAGAAATTTTTTTTGTGTATAGAGGAAAATTGTTTCTATCATGTTTATACAGTCACAACAATTAGTTGTCTGAGAAGTTGCAATTAAAAAATTCTAAAATATAGAATATTTCATCTCAGGTCTCTTCTAAAGTAAAAATACCAATTCCCGGACACATATTTAATTCTGGACATTCTTATTATTTTGATATTTAAATACGAAATTTTAACTTTTAACATAGAATGTATATATGTGTATATATATATATATATATGTATATATGTGTATATATATATATATATATATATATATATATATATATATATATATATATTATGTTGAAAGTTGAAATATTTACATTTTAAGACTAAAACAATAAGAATGTATCCAGAATTAGATGTATCTGGATACTGATACTTTTACTCCTTAAATGTTCTTTTTTAATAATAGAATAATTGGATTAATTTCCAAATTATAAGAAACAGGAGAAAAGTAAGACTTTCAGAGATTACCTTCTGTTGTGCAGGATAAGAAAAATGTGCCTTGGCTCGTTAATCCAATCTCTGGTGAGCTTGGACCGAACGAGTCTACAGAGGTCGAAGTAAAAATATTTCTACGCGATCCTGGTAAATACGCCGGCGCTGTAAACGTGCAGGTCGCGAATAGCCGGTCGATTCCTATTAACGTGATTGCAAGTGGAATCGGTTGTAGTGTCACTTTCGAGCCGCAGATATATCCAATGTTCGACATGGGATTTCTCTTTAGGTAAAAGAATGCTGATTGAAATGTTAACTCGCTTTGTCACGCTCTGACAGTCGGACGTTGATGAAAATTGTCTTTTTGACGCTCGATCGTTTTTGCTCGTTCCTCATCATTAAATCATTTTCGCCAGCCGTCAAAATCAGAGTGTACCGATAACCATAAGAAATCTCGGCACGCATCGTAATCAAATAACGTGGTCGAACAATCCAGAAGTGCGCGCTCAAAGGAGTCACGCCTCGCCGATGTAATAGCCTGATCTTAATTCAAATTTGTACTTTATAACTACGATGCGCTAAAAGTTACCTGTTGTAGCAGCAAATTTCAAGTCGAGCCGGCCATTGTAGACGTGCCAGCCGGGGATTCTAAAGTAGTCCAATGCAAAATATGTTGGAATGCGTAAGTTATGATTGTACTTTGTCTTGAAGCGTAGTAACTACTCGATCGCACCGATTCTAACGAGAGAGAACATTTTCATAATTACGCCGGCTTTCATGAAGCAATTTTACAGCAGAGACTCTTGCATAATTCTTGTAATTTTACGACAACCGCGTTTGCTCGACAACAGAGGAATAAGTCTCGATCGCAAAAAGAACATCTTTTCGCGTTGAAGGAATGAAGTCTTGATGGAAGATTGGTACGTATTCGGGCACACACACGGACAAAGGAAGCGGAAGTTGCTTGGCACCAGCACATTTAAGGCGACTTTTATAGAACCGCGGATCTCGTTTAACAAGAGGGAGTTAACGTTTCGTATCGATATGTACCCCAACGGGGAAAAGTTGGAACAAGCAGGTAGGAAATGGCTATCTCGTCCGGCACTGTTTCGGCGAAGAAAACTGAGAAGTTACGCGATCCGGTACATTAGTGAGAACACTCCCAAATAAGCTGCGTTTTGGTGTGTCAGAAATTATATTTTAACTGTACAAATTAATTCGATGCTTTTAGTTCTACATACCCACCCGATCGTTAACCAATTTCAATTTTTTTTATCGGCGGAAAAATATGAATCTAACATATCTAAACATCTATCAAATCAGGTCCTGGAAGTTGGGAGTGTAATTGATTTATTTTATAGTTTCTTAAAATAAAAGCCGTTGTCCGATTTAAATGGAACAAACGCCAAAATATTTCATTTAATAAGAGTTGCAAAATATATTTTATGCAAGATTTTTTGTCAATTATAATATGGGGATAAATCATCCGTATCAAATATTAAAACTTTTGTAAAAGTAACATAATAATAATCACACAATAATAATCTTACATAAAATGTAGAGCAATGAAACATATGCATAAAATATATTTATATAAAATATATAAATCTTGTATAAAAAGAAATATATATATATATATATATATATATATATATATAT